TAAAGTTTTTCTTCACATGGTTATCTGTTGTTTGTTAGGGTTAGCTATTGTGTATTTTGTAGCTACTAAACTAAAACCATTCACTGATAACAAACACATGGTTATCTGTTGTTTGTTAGGGTTAGCTATTGTGTATTTTATAGCTACTAAACTAAATCCATTCACTAATAACAAACACATGGTTATCTGTTGTTTGTTAGGGTTAGCTATTGTGTATTTTATAGCTACTAAACTAAAACCATTCACTGATAACAAACACATGGTTATCTGTTGTTTGTTAGGGTTAGCTATTGTGTATTTTATAGATATCAAACTAAAAGCATTCACTGATAACAAACACATGGTTATCTGTTGTTTGTTAGGGTTAGCTATTGTGTATTTTATAGCTACTAAACTAAAAGCATTCACTGATAACAAACACATGGTTATCTGTTGTTTGTTAGGGTTAGCTATTATGTATTTTATGAGATTCATGGTCTTCTGAAAGGATCGATCATTCGCTCATTCATTGAAAAAATATTTTACTGTTTAATAACTTTAATGGGATAATAACAAAATCTTAAGGCATTAATACACACTTTTACCCGCTAGAATGTCCAACCAGGAAGTTGTGTACCTCAAAGTCTTAATAAAATATTTTACAGAAAATAGAGAATTATATTAAAATCATTTTGAATGTGTAGATCAACAAATAAAGTGACAACAACAGCCGATATAAAGTTGCGGTGAAATGGCTATATCAGAACTAAATTTTAACTTTTCTTGGGATCTTGTAGGTAGTGCTATACCGCCCAAAAATGATCAGTTTTGGAAATGGTATGTAACAACCCTTTTCGACCAAAAATATTTAGACACTCAGAATATAAAGATGTGTTTCAAATGTGGATTTAGGATTTGTGAGACGGGAAAATCCCTTAATGGCAGTGGAAAGCAAAGAAATATGGATGAACTTGGAACATAAGTGCCATTCAGAAAAAGACCTGCATCAAGTCGTACCCCAGTCGTATCAAGCAAAATGCGGCGTCTTGTGATATGTGAGAATCCACAAACACCAAGGTCAGTAGTAAAATCCGTGCATGTGTCACAGCGATCATCAGTACGCAAAATATTCAAGAAGTATTTACGTTGTAAAAAAAAGGCACAAGTCACGTGTATACAAGCTGCTTCTACGACATATCTGTTCAACTGTTGCATACCTTAAGCAGCCGGAGAATGAAACGAATATTCATGCTATTCTATACATGAATACTTGACATGACGGCCAAGACGCCGGATGCAGCGCCTATGGATTTCTTTGTGACAGGAATGTTGAAACAAGCGCTGGGAAACCACCGTTATCGTACACTAGATGGCTCATGGAAAGCATACAGTGTGTTTTAGACATGACAGCCTTACTGTGGCGCCTTTTGTAGTGGAACTTACGCTGCAGGGCTATTGTCAAGATGCACGGCTGACAGATAGAGCATAACCAGACGTGTCGATATGTATTATAGCAACGTGGTGATAGGCTCCAAAATCGTTTTAATATAATGTACCTAATCTCTGTGGTCACGTGTAACCCCCCCAAAAAAAGTTCTACCAAGAACATGTGTATCTCATCACAAAAACTAAACGAGGTTGAACCGAATAAAATAAAAACACTAACTAGGTGGGTTTTTAATATTCTCGTAGCGTCAAGAAACATCTCGCAATTCACATGCGGTTCGAGTATCGATAGCATTAACCTGTCCAAATAGGCTGATTTTTGTAGTTTTATAAATGGTCTTGAGTTTTACTAAAATCAGATCGCGTATTGTGAAAGTTATACAGTCATCTAAAGAAGAGTACGTTTATTCCCCGCTTTCTCTCTCAGAATATATACATAAATAAAGACTAGTTCAAAACACACTACAGGAACATCACGAACTGTTTGTGTTAATTACGATCACAATCATAAAACAGACAAATTTAAACACGAACAAATTCAAATAAAAGATCTGAGCAACTTTCTTATTTCGGTTCGATACTCACCCCATCCCACGAAGTAATATAACTTGAAAGGGGCATCTTTCTGAAAGACACACACTGCTGTTCGACTGTGTAGCAACAGGCCCTCATTAAACATCCAGTTGATGCAAGCAAGAGCTGCGTACATTTTAACTGTCAAAACGGAGCGGCACAGCCAGTTCTGTAGAAAGGTAGACACATACATAATTATAACCAAAGAACGGAGTGGCACAGCCAGTTCTGTAGAAAAGAATACACATACATAGCAGCACAGCCAGTTCTGTAGAAAGGAAGACACATACATAATTATAACCAAAGAACGGAGTGGCACAGCCAGTTCTGTAGAAAGGAAGACACATACATAATTATAACCAAAGAACGGAGTGGCACAGCCAGTTCTGTAGAAAGGAAGACACATACATAATTATAACCAAAGAACGGAGTGGCACAGCCAGTTCTGTAGAAA